ACCCACTTGATTGCCGCGCCGGCTTGGAGGTGTAACGGCCTCCTTCGCACACTCGGCTTCACGCTCCGCCGTTGTGCAGACTCACACGCACAAGATTTGAATTTGATTTCCGCCGTCGTCCGTCGACTTAGCCCTGCTTGCGCAGCGCCGAAGGCGTGGCGGCGAAGGACTTCGCCTCTGGCCGATTCCTGATTTTTCTCTTTCCGCATCGCCGAAGGCGTCCGTCTTCCGCCGAAGTTACTCTCCCGAAGGTGTACACTTGAAGGCTCAGCGCCAAAGGCGCTTCCGCCGAAGGCGTTGATCGAAGTCAATGCGTCTTGTCGTTTCCGTTGTTCTGTCTTGTCCCGCCGAAGGCGCTCTTGCCGCATGTGTTCCGTTCCGCCAAAGGCGCACGTGTCCGCCGAGGACGTACCGCCGAAGGCGTATGGCCGAAGTCGCACCGCCAAAGGCGTTGACCTAATATCGATGCGCTGGCGCCGAAGGCGTGCAGGCGAAGGAGTACACCACCGAAGGTGCTCCCCCGAAGTCTATTGTGCCGAAGGCGTCCGTCGCCGAAGGCGCTTCCTATTAGTAACTTCCAACACTTGTAACTCAATGATCTCTTATCTGTTCCAAGAGTTCTTGGGCTCGTTAAAACGAGCGCGTCGAGATCTTTCCAACGAGACCCTAGCCAAATCAAGAAGTTACAAATGGAGACAGTTATGAGGGATTCACTCTAGCGCCAAAGGCGTCTTCTCCTGCTTGCGCCGAAGGAGCTTCCCCTCAGGAGGAACTGTCCGTTCGGTCCAGGGTGCTTGTCCCGAACATTGCGCTCAACTCCTGGATTCTCCTGGACCCGCGATCATCCATTTTTCACTCTATTTTAGTGTACCGATTACTATTTACAATTGCTGCTGCGGTACTGTTTTCCAAAAATGTTTAAATTCCGCACAAAAACAAAAAGTAGGTTACCACACTTCGTCCGCCGCAACTTGCTCTAGTTGCGTCTGTGCCGAAGTCGACTGCACCGAAGGCGTTTTTGCCGAAGGCGCTTGTGCCGAAGGTGTGGTAACCCAATTTTTTTTTTTGGTCGGAATTAAAACATTTTTGGAAAATAAGTACCGCGGCAGCAGCTGTAAATAGTAATTGGTACATAAAATAGAGTAAAATGGGAGAATCGCGGGTCACTGAGAATCTAGGAGTTGGGGAGGGGCTTAGGCCGAGGTCGAGCGCCCTCGACGGAGCGGACGGTTCCTATTGAGGCAAGCGACTTTGGCGCCTTTGGCAAAATCTCCTTTTGTGAGGTGTCTTGTAAAAACCCACCAAAGGCTAAAACTGCAGTATAGCAGCAAAAAGGTCGAACCCACAGGGACAGAGGCAACACACAGAGTACAAAGTGTCACGTTTTAAGAGACTATTGAAGAGTTTGAATTCTCAAGCGACTGTCACTCCCAGAAATACTGCAAGTGCTCAACTCGGAGGTCACTCGGAGGACGCACAGTGCATCGTAGTTCACCCCAACACACACGTGAAACTATAAAAACACAACTTAGGGGTCGGTTAGGACCTCTACTTAAGATTCAGGGGGAAAGTTTCTTAAGAGTACATTCAGAGCATCTGCAGGTAGTGTTCCCCGACTCCGGATTGTTGACTCTGACTGCTAGAGCAGAGCACCCGGGTTGGATTTCCTACTTCGCATGCGGTACCTTCGTCAACCGAAATCACTCACACGCTGTGAACAACACACTCAACTCACAAAACGCGCAGAGAATACAGGAATCCAAACTGAAAAACTCGATTGAGAAAAGATCCAGTGTCACTACTTAACAGTCTATTGACGAGTTTAAATTCTCAGGCACTAGTCATTCCCAGAAATACTGCGGAGGCTACACCCGAAGGCGCCGAAGGCGCCTCAGGCAGCGTACAACTTGAATTGTTAACCAAGGTTTACTCGAAGTAACAAAACTTCACTTTGGCATTGAGGGGGAAAAATCCCGAAGGAGTACAAACAAGAACAATCACCCGAAGTTGTAAGTCCGAACTGCTCAAGTTCTAACCAGACTACACTAGCTCAGAGCATTCAGTCGAAGGCCTTCAGCTACATGTCTTTGTCTGATGGTTGTGAACTGGCGTGGGTGCATTCTACAAGTGTTGACAGCTGCTAGCGTGACATGTGAGGGACAACGTCATTGGTGTGCGTTACAGGATTTCGAGTGCTTACTGTAATTTGCTCGAGACTGGTGTGGAAATCATGTCGGTTTTCATCTCTGAACGATACACAGAACTTTAGGTGAAGAATAGTGAAGAATAAGAGCGTTACTGAATACATGATTATGAAGAAGAAGATGGCGAAGACCATACGTAGTGTAAAAGGACGAGATAAATCCAACACTTGGCCTCCACACCTGCCTCGATTTACTTTTCTAAGAAATCTGCTACATTTGTTGCTTAACATCTATGTACATTTTCACTATAAACGCGTGTTACTCGAATGAAACTTGAGCGCTGAAGACTTCTCACTGAATAAACAAGGTGTTTAAATCAGGTGCGACGCGTTTCTACATGTAAAAATTGTTGACCCCGATGACCAAACTGACGATTAGGAGTTGAGAGTTTGTCTACTCTTCTCCTCAAGACTTAAATAAGTCCAACACTTTCTAAATATTTCGCTATCCATTCTTCCACTGTTATTGCAACCGTTTCACTTTTGTGTGTCAAAAGTGAAACGGTCAGCTACTGAAATAGACCTCTCGTCTATTCTCGACCCCTCGACATGTTCGACATTATATGGAATCAACGCTTGTACTTTGGTCATGAGATGCAGGTCATTCAAAAGGTCAACCCCTGGCATGCAGACCTCACAGAAATCTTTATCAGGTCGTTTTCTTGATGATCAACTCGGATGTGCCTCGCAAGGTGGTCAAGAGACGCATGCGTGCACTGCGCTTTGACTCCGATTAGAGGTCGTACTGATATGAATCATTCCCCAAAACTTCATAGAGGAAATTGTGATGGCCAAATATTGTCTAACGAGGCTGGATTCCATTGCATATTTTATTGCTACCTGCACAGTTAGTCAGACTCTACCCAGAAAGTCACAGAGGAAATGTAGGACACTGCAGGTAAACCATGACCCGTATAATCTGCCAACTACATCATTATGTACTTTGAAGGGTTACTATGTCTATCATGTGACAAGCCCACATGTCCAAAACTTATTATAATAATTTTGAATTATATGGAGTAAAAATTTAACGACTAGTATGACAGCCTGACAAGCCAGAAGATCACTAAACGTAGAGTCAGACACGCGCGAGCTCAAACTTTCATCTGAGAGCTTGACTGTGAATATGGCATTAGTTAGTGTTCATCTCGTCCCTGAGGCGTGAAAATTTCTTGATGATCAAGCTCAGAATGATCAGACCAGTTCGACTTCGAACTGTGTTATCGATCATTATCTTGTGGGCTCTTGTCAAGCATGTGGTAGCAAACTTCACACTGGGAACGAACGGGATGTCTTTCCAGTGCACAGACCGGGGAAATCTATGGTGTTTTGGAAACGCAAGTGCGAGTCCCGCAGGTCTGATGCTCACTCCGATAGATAGGGCCATCATGGCTTATGAATATTACCTTTGGACAGCCGGGATGGCACTTTCTACAACTCAAATCCCACTGCAAAAGAGTGAGAGCGATCCGACCCGAACCTCGATCTCCTTCAGCACTTCTTTCCGCTTCACCATCGAACCTTCTAATCCAAATTATCGGGGCGACGGGATGGCATTTGTGATGCTCAGTGAGGGTCGTCAAGGCTTTTATGGAGGTGCTTTCGGTGTCTTCGATCGACGCGGACATCAGATCACCACGACACTGGCAATCGAGTTTGACACGTTTGAAAATGTCGGGGACGAAAACAACAATCATGTGGGAGTAGACGTACAAGATGTCAATTCAAAATTAGCAAGAAGCGCCTGGGAGGTCAGTATAGATCTTGCCGGAAATTATAGCATATTCTCGTGGATAGATTACAACTCATCGACTCAAAACCTGGAGGTGAGAATCAGCAGTGACAACGCTAAGCCGTCTCTACCTTTTATCGTCTACCCACTAAATCTGTTCGACGTCTTCCATCCAGACGAGCTAGTGTACGTCGGGTTTTCAGCAGCCAACGGAAACTGTGAATGTTTCAATTTCTACACAGTCCATGACTGGACTTTTTCATATGTTTCTGACCCTGAAGCCATAGTTCAAGTATCGCCTCCCATTCTTCCAGCTTTGCCTCCGGAACCAGGCGGCGGAGGCAAAGTACAGGTTGCTTTGATCGCTGGAGTCTCACTGGGTGTCGTGTTCTTATTCTCAATCCTGGTCATCGTTGGACTGGTTATTCGACAGAAGAAATCGTATCGTCCTGAAGGTAGGGATAGGCCAGCTTTCAGTCTGGATCGGGTGGACTTGGGGTTCAGCCTAGAGTTCAGCTTCGAACAGCTCTGCATAGCCACCGATCAATTCGGGGAGGAATCCAAACTCGGTCAAGGAGCATTCGGTGCTGTTTACCGCGGCCAATTACCCGATACGGGACAGCTCGTGGCCGTGAAGAGATTGAATCCGGTTTCAAATCAGGGTCTCAAGGGGTTTTTGGCCGAGGTGTCGATTATCAGCCAGATCCGCCACCGGAACATCGTCAAGCTGCTGGGATGGTGTAAGGACCGGGGCAACCTCCTGCTGGTGTACGAGCTCATGCCCAACGGAAGCTTGGACAAGGCTCTTTTCCACCCGGCGAATCCAGAATCAGTTTTGCCGTGGAAGCTCAGGTTCAAAATCATCTCCGGTTCTGCAGACGCTCTATATTACCTGCACGAGGGCTGGCGGCAGCAGGTGATTCATCGGGACTTCAAGTCCAGCAATATCATGCTGGATCAGGACTTCAACGCCATGTTGGGGGACTTTGGATTGGCTCGGATGGCGGATCATTCTCAGTCTCCTGCCACCACTCAGATTGCCGGGACCTTCGGTTACATAGCCCCCGAGGTAGCAGGCTCGGGGAAATTCACCGACAAGGCGGATGTTTACGCCTTCGGGGCCGTGGCTTTGGTGATCGCTTGTGGAAGACCAGCCTTCCTTTTTAAGGCGCCGGTCGAGCAGATTTTCCTTGTCGATTGGGTCTGGGAGAAGCTGGATCAGGAGAGCCTGTTTGATGTCGTAGATCCGAGACTGGGCGAGGAGTTCGATGCAAAAGAGATGAAATTGCTTCTTCTCTTGGGCCTCTTGTGCTCTCACCCGAACGCCGGTAGTCGGCCGACGATGAGAGAGGTGGTCGAGATCTTGGGGGGTAGGGTGGCACTGCCTCTGGTTCCTTCGTCGAAACCGCAACCTCATTACTTGTCTTCTGTTGCTACGGATCAACACCAGAGTATATGAACTAGTCGAGCAAGTCGCAATCGTCGTGACGGGCAGAGCACGAGAATTCGCGAATTCTGGATTTCTTCATAATGTACTCACTGGGATGATGTCCTGATGTCCACAGCACGAGTCCAGGTTCATGAGTAAGCGCTCTAGGAGACCCTGAAAACGCAATTCTGAAGCAAAAAGGATGACGAGACCACATCAAGTCCCACACTCGAGGTGTGGGACTTGATGAGGGTAAGAAACCATGAGAAACCACGAGGGTAAGAATGTGTGCTAGCCCAAATAGCGTCTCGATGGGCTGCACCAATGATGTATACTTATCTCGATCAAAATGTATAACAAAAGGGGTCATAGAAAGAAGCACCCTTTACATGCTCCGTAAATTCTCTACACAAACTTTTAGGATACCAAAGGTGTGGAAGGTTACTCTACTAGCCAAAAAACATTCGGTGGTTTTGTATTCTATCTCCAATTAATTAGAAGGCATTAGAATGTACTCTACACGAGTCACAAAGGCAAAAATAGTTAAGAGTAATGTTTTTAATATGTGACACCAAGATCCAATGGATAAGAGTAGTCATCGTGATTTTTCAAAAGAAGTGCCAAAGGAGATTTATAAACTCATGGGCAACGATGTACAAGATTCAATAGAAGTAGATACCAAAGCACCTATATCAAAAAAGTTCCCTTAATAAATAAATATCTAGAAATTAATGAATAGAATCAGAAAGACACGTCAAATTGATGTGAATAGATCGGGAGCTATAAAAGCCAACGACATTCAAGTTCTTCTAGTTATACTCGACTGCATTCTAATAAATTAACCCAGCAAGTAAACATCAACTTCAGTAAATTTAGAGTTGCTCTAGGACTCGGAATGTATAACCGCTAGATTCACAGTCATCATAAGAAGATGCAAACTTTCATTAATAATACTAAGTATGAATGAGCAAAAGATGGTATGAGTTGCATCCGTTCGATGATTGTGTGTTCATTGATCGATTCTCTCCTTTGAATTCATAGCACTTATATTTGTACGTTTTCTAGAAAAAATAGATTTATTTCCAAACTGATTAACAATTTTAACTCTGAATGCATATTTGACTTTAGATTCTCTCGACGAAGATTTTGCTACCACAGGCAATTCTTGTGTAATGGAAACGAGTTGGACCAATGGCACTTGCTTTGAATCCCAAGGAGTACTTTCCTCTCTATATGACGTTTTTAGTATAGTTCAGTCAACAAGATCTTCAGTCCTGCAAAATTGGTAAGTTTTCATGCAGCACGTTGTAGACGAGGGGATGCGTCTGGGTATGATCGAGACTCAAGTATTCCATCGAGCCAGTAAGACCTACCGTCTTCCACGTGCACAGTCCCTCTCGATACGGCGGGTGAGCTGAAGCTAAAAGCTTGTGCTGAATGAGGTGAATTAATGTTGGACGTATTTATAGTCTGTACATCCTCATGATACATCTCCAGCCGTTTTGTTCATTCAAATGGCAAATATCAGATTTTTTCTTTCCGATCCTTTCAACCTGCGGAAGAGCCAACTCTCTGTCTGAACGTGAAGCATCAGGTGAGCAGCTAAGATTGTTCTGACATTCTTCCGATCCAGCAAGATCGACACTGGCGGCCGGCACAAAAACGCAGGAGTTTACAATGATTGCAGAAATCAAGATGAGCATGATGATGTTATGATCTATGCCAGTGGTTGTTCAACCACTGCACCAACTATGGCTTCTCTGAGATTATATTCGAGATATAAAAATAAAACGGCTGTGTATGTGACCAAAAGTGACTTGATCGAGAATCTGCTCTATTAACATTCATCGAGACCATTCGCCTCTACAGTCACAGCCAACACTGTATACGATCCACAAATAGCATTCCTCTTACCCTTCTTCCTCATCACTTCAATTTGGTGAGAATAGAGATCATTGAAATTTGTCAAAAGAAGATCATTGTGACATTTACACGGACGGTTAGATATTCGAATTGACGAAGTCCTGTGCCGGCTGAGGACTTTTGAAAGCAAAAAGTGCATATTCCAGCATGTGCGTTGGATTTCGTGATATTTGTTGACAATCTAGTCTAGTACCTGGTGTTTCTGGGACCAAAATCTGGGATTGCATGCCGCAGGAATTCAAGTATTGTTGGACCAGTTTCATCCTTGATCAACAAGCTTCTTTATTCCCCGCCACACACAAAGATCTCACGTTGACCAATCCGAGGATAAATAGTACTCATCCTCCCCGAGCCGCACACGATATTTTTGGATTATTGATGAAGTAAATAGAAGTAGGTTTATGATTCCCAGCACAAGAGAGCAGAATGCGGAAACTCATGAAGCATGAATAGCCTCATTAAGTACTCAGTGTGTACTTCCTAGTCCTCACTGAATCTGATCTTATGGGCTGCTTAGAATGAGAACATTTGAACCTCAACATCTATCTGCACACATCCTCCTCCAGATATTTAGCATGTCAACGACGCCGTGCTTATCAAACAGGCACGTGTATGTGTACTGTGAAGTTTGCACACTGTATGATTAGAACTTTCAGTTTAGATCGAAATGAGATTAAGGTAGAAGGGACAGACAGTGAAATGACAATCGGAGAAGTCGTCGTGCTGTTCTAGTACTTCATTCATGAGATGCATAAATGGTGTTTCGAGATTGTGGTGAGAAAGCCTGAATATATGGAGGGAGTGAATGACCTTTTGCCTTCAGTGCTGGAACAGTCCGTGAGACCGTGGCTTGTTGATCTTGCTTGCTGAAAGGTTGCTATCAATGAAGCTGCACTGTGTCCTAATTCGGTCAAAACACGACTACAGTAAACTTTCACCTGTGTGCAACAAGCCACGTGAAAGTTTACTGTAGTCGTGTTTTGACCGAATAAGGACACAAGTGCAGCTTCATTCATAGTAACCTTTCAGCAAGCAAGATCATACACATCACCCAGCAAGATCTGACTTCATACAATCTTATCCTCAAGTTGAAGTTCTCTCCAAATCTGAAGTCATAATCTTCATGGGACTTCGAACTGCACAGAAATTACAGCACTCCATGGATCACTCTACTCAAGATCAGCGCCCAGCTTTTTGCTCAAAGACTCAAACGTAATATGGCATGAAATAAGAATCAAAAAAATCTCAACATATTTGGAGTTCTTATTTCGACTCTAGGAAGTGGGGAGAAGGCCGCTACGAGCTAGCACTAAAGTTCGCTGTGCAAGGTGCGTTGGAATAGACGGACGTACAAACTGCTATGGTGTTGTGTGCCCGGACGGTAGAACAGTTTAGATTTTAATAGTCAATCAAATGCCTTGAGAAACTACTTCGTGCACAAATCTACTTTTAAACCCAACAATTCGTAAACAAGAAACAGATTCCCAGCAGCTTTGAGTTACAAACACTTAGCATATTTTTGTCATTTTACAATAGCTCCTTTCTCAACTCTCAGCCGTCTTTGTACATGAATGTTGATTCAGATCCAACTCTTCTGCCTTCAAATTTTGTCTATCTTCAAACATCGTATACACTTGAGATTATTGTAATAACCCACCAAAGGCTAAAACCGCAGTATAGTAGCAAAAGGTCGAACCCACAGGGAGAGAGGCAACACACAGAGTACTAAATTGTGGTAATCCACTTTTTGCTTTTTTTGCGGAATTTAAAACATTTTTGGAAAACAGTACCGCGGCAGCAGTGTAAATAGTATTCGGTACATTTAAATAGAGTGAAAATGGATGATCGCGGGTCTTGTAGAATCATCCAAAATCATCGAGTTGGGCGCAATGTCCGGAACAGGCGCCCGATGTGAGCCAAACCTTCCCACCCTTCAGCGTTTGTAGTCCGGGTGGGGGTTCGAACTCCCATAATCTAACTTCTCTGATTGCAAGCCATGTGCTCAAAGTGTATCCAAGACAACGAGATCATAAACACTTGCTCGTTCACAGACAATTTATCCAGAACGGAAAATGATAACTTGCTGTCTGCTATCTCCACAAGGGCAGCAAACAAACTCTTTGTTACATAAAGATCTAACTCAACTTTGGGTGACTGTTTCAACACCACAGCCGCTGTGGTCTATCCTAGATCCCAGTCCCACTCCCAATTCCTACTCAGACCTCAGTGTCGATTTCTCAGCTTCCACCTTCAGACCCCACCAGATTCCTCTCTTAGATTCAACTTTGCCTTTTCAGTGTCAAATTCAGATTCCGACTGTCAGATCTCAGTCTCGGATTTCACTTCACTCTCAGCTCCCATTCTCAGATCTTCCACTCTGATCTCAGATTCCACTCACAGATGTTACACTTCAATCTCAGATCCCACTCAAATTTCACTCTCTAATACGACTCTCCACCCACGAGAGTTTGCTTCCTCCTACTTCGAACTCTCCACACTCCCCTCCTAATTCTCACCACTTCCGTCTCCACACACGCACACCACCAGCTCTCCGTTCCCAGGCCGAACTCCCCACTTCGAAGTTCAAGGCCGAGACACACACAGCCCGCCTGAAAATGCAACACTCGCAATGATGGGTAGCTGGCTACTCCCCTTGCGCGACTACATGCACCGTCGTCTTGCCTCCCCCACTTGACTTCACGCCGCCGCCGCTGCCACACCTGCACATTCTACATTCCTGACCACCCGATCACCGCCGGAGGGAATCCTCTTCCGCGCACCGCCGAAGGCATCCACCCGCCAAAGACGCACGACCACACCTTTGCTTATCCATAACAGTCACTCCCGACACCCATAACTCACAGATGCTAGCTCCGTTTCACAAGTTCGTGGGCTCGTTGGAACGACCAGGTCGAGTTCTTTCCAACTAGACCCTAACTGGGTCAAACCGTTATGAATTGAGAAAGTTATGCCTGTTTTACCCTTCGCCGAAGGCACACCGCCGAAGGCCTGTTACCTGTTATCGCCGAAGGCGCCGGCACGATGTTCGCCGGTTTGATGTCTTCCGGTTCGATGTCTTCCGGTTCGATGTTGTCCTACCCTATCCGCCGCTTTCGACGCTCATAACTCAGTGACGCCTTATCCGTTTGAAGAGTTCTTGGTCTCGTTGGAACGAGCGTCGCGAGCACTTTCCAACAAGACCCTAATCAAATCAAACCGTTAACAAATGAAAAAGATATGCCGAGTTTACTGTTTCGCCGATGGCCCTTGCACGATGTTCACCGGCTCGGAGTTCGCCGACCCCGAGTTCGCCGAAGGCCTGCTCGCAGTTGTCGCGAAGTCGTCCGAAGCCGGAGATGTTCGCAGCCGGAGACGTCCGGAGCCGAAGACGTTCGCAGCCGGAGACGTTCGCAGCCAGACTTGCCTCAACCCTTCCCATCAGTAACTTCCGACACTCACGACTCAGTGATTCCTCATCCGTTTGAAGAGTTCTTGGTCTCGTTGGAACGAGCGTTGCGAGCTCTTTCCAAGGAGACACTAACTGAGTCAAGGAGTCACACATTGAAAACGTTATG